GTGCAAGGTTAGTAGGTAGCAGCTTCAAAGTGTTATTTGCTGCGAAGTAAACTGCTATACAGATTGTGTCGCAATCTAGACAAATATAGGGTAATTTAAAAACAATAAAGAATCTTTCCTGAGTTGTTCCATCGCTCGTTTGGTGGAAAATAACCAGACATCAAGGACGGAAAATAAGGAAATGAGGGTAAGGTGCATTCCATGGCCATCGCACTGTTTGTGCGGGGAGATAAATCATAAACCCTAGTAAATTTCCATATGCAAACACGGAACAATGCCGTTCAACTAGCACATTCCAATGGCTTGCAAGATCCACAAAAGCGCTACAGGGCATTACACAATCAGTGTCTGTTGGATGAGGGCTCCGGATAAATAACACATATCGGAGGGATTCAGCTGGCGGATTAGCATAATGGTTGCTGAAACTAATTCATCCAAAGAGAACCAGAGTCCAATGTAGAAAGTGGCTTAATGGTAGCAAAGAAAATCGCGGTAGTTGACGAAAGGCCAGGTAACGTAGTTCGCAAATCGTTTCTCTCGTTTTACCGGGTAATTCCTATAGCAAAGTTAATCGGATTCACCACGTAAAGTCCTCAGCTGAGGCTAGATGTGTCGACACGATGAAGAAAGCCAATGATTTCGATCGGTTTGACACAAAATCATTGCTCGTGATGTGACGGTGGAGTAGTGTATCGCATGATGTTTAAATATCAAAGGGTCCGTGAGTGGAAAGACGACGGCTTCGGGTTGGTTTTACACAGTAGCTGCTCAAGCACTCACCTGCATTTGAGTACATTGGTGTCAACATACCGCAGGGTGAAGCATTAGCGATTAAAATAAGAGCCCAATATGAATCTGGGGCTTAAAATAGTTTCGAAGCCCCAGCATCTTCCGGGCCGCTGAAACGGGATTTCTCGGGCACAAACTGATTAAAGATGGTGAAAAAGTCTAATGTAAGGCGTTGACCCGTCTGATCGAACAGGTATGGAGGGAAGAGGAAGGTGCAGTCGAGTTGAGTGATCAATCAATGTGGTAAGATTAGCAATAGATCCTTTTGCAACATCAGCCTATCGACAATCGTGATATGGTAACTGGCCTCTGCTCTCACAAACAAGAATCCAGGATAGAAGGCAGGTGTCTGACCAGGGCAGCATGTACCATGTGTACATAGTGTGATAGACCCTAAAGCGGACGCGCGCACGGCGAGTTGACTATAGTTGCGCTCCCTGATTTCAAGACTGTGCTTCATTCAGTTGATGGATCCATACGGTTTGACATACACCATAGAGAGACATTGTCAACAAACACGTTAACCTCTTAAAGGCCTGGTGCTCAAACACCTCAGGCGGGACTAGAATCCACAGTGAGCTGTCGGATGTCTTTTCGGTAGCAGGTAGAGTTCACCGGGGTCGTCAGTTGTTGGAGCCCCGTCATATATATTGGTGGTCCATCGTTTTCCTCGATACCAAAGGTACATTCGATTCGGTAGATAGACGTACCCTCTGGGACTGTCTAGTCAGGAAAGGCGTACCTGAGAAACATATATTATCCGAGCATTATATGCTTGTAGCTCTGACAGAGTGAGGGCTTACGGCAAGCTGTCGCTGCAGTGAGACAAAGGTGCCCGCTGTCCCCTTTCCTCTTCAACTTCGCTATTGACGAAGTCATGGAAATCGCGTTCACAGGATACGAGTTAAGTGCGGATCTGCTTCCAGGAGAACGATTAATTGACCTGGAGTATGCTGACGATATTGCCTTAATCCGTGACAGTTCATAAACGTGCCTGTGTGTCTAGTTGATAGACTGTTGAGATTACTACACAAACGTGTCAAGCTGCACTGGACAGATAAGCACTGCCTGTCAGTCACTGTGGGCTTTGCTTCGCAAGCTCAAAGTACAAAGCGTTCATCCAAGACTGGCCTGGACCGCCTCCTGCGCTGATCACTTAGAAGTCGTACAAAAATTAAACTACCTGGGAAGTTGTATCAGCGTCCATGGGATTGAAGATGAGATTATGAACCGTATAGCAAAAGCTCGAGGCGATTTTGCTAACCTTCATCACTTATGGCGCCGGCGCGACATCAATCTCGACATGATAGGTAGAGTGTACAATGCAGAAGTACGTTCGACCCTACTGTACGGTTGTGAAACCTGGTCGCTTAGATCAGCGGACATAAAGAGGCTAGTTACGTTCAACCACCGGTGCCTTCGCAATTCGGCTCACATCTGGTAGGAACCCCGAGTAAGCAACGAGCGTATTCAACGCCTTGGTTACGGCACAGAAAAAAGAAATGAACAGCTCAGCACCGTTATTTCACGCACCAGGCTCCGATGGCTCGGCCACATGTTATAAATGCCAAACCACCGACACCCGCGACATGCGTTGTTTGAGCGCCGAAAGCGTGTATGGAAGAAGGGGTAGTCAAGCGATGAATTGGTTGAGAGAAAGGAAGGCCATCACTTCGAAGATGGCCTCGGTTGGAGCGTCTCGGCTCCCTGATTGGGGTCCGAAAGACGAGTGACACGTTTGGTTGGATACACTCGCTGATATCGTTAGCAGCCGACCTCAGTGGCGTTCGTGCTGTGAGTTTCTTTGTCCCAACGAATCCCTATTAGCCTCCCCTCCAATCAAAATCTCTCTATTTGGCCTTTTATAATTTTGCATAGTAAATTCATTTTGCTGCATAGTAGCCTGGCTGGCAGCTTACTGGAACGATGCCCTTTCGTTACCGGTAGCTCAGCTAGCTTGCAACTGCTGCATTTTGTTCTCGTTTTTCTTTTATGTATTGCGGCACAGTAGCTGAGGTGCTTCCCAGCTCTAGCTAGCGTGTATAATGAAGATAATGATGATCAATACCCCAGTGATTTTCTATCACTACCGAGAATAGAGGTGTTGTCTAGAGAAAAGCCCGATTAGTCTAGAGGACGCGGACATTGTAGGCACGCCAAACGACACATCTAGCTTTCCGCAAACTACCTGGTGGGATCTCATCACTTCGCAGGCGCCCTGCATCATTAGGAAGAAAAGTGATGTTACCTCAGCTCTTCAATTCACCCAACATGGCGACGGCATCAGTGGCAACAGACCCGTTTCAAAAATAATAACTGCCGCCAGTTTTCCTGGGTTCCTAAAGGTCATGTTCTTAGGAACGCGGTGAGAGCCGTTACTTTCCAAAGAGGTGGGAATTTGAATCATGTTAACCGATTGAGAGCTTTTCAGAATAAGGTGTTGTCTGTGCCGCACAGTGCTGTCAATATGGAACGATGTTCCACGCGGTGATAGACAGATTACATTAGATGGGTCATATGCTGGCTTATTGATCACCGTGAAAAGCCTTGTTTACACGACCTAGTAGGTGAGGGAAATCGCTGGCGGAAAGTGAAATATTTTCTCATCGGAATGGGCGTCAGTTCGCCGTTTCGCCTTACAGGAAGGAGTCAAAGCGACTCAGTCAGTACATAACATGAGACCTAAGTTGACATTGTTCGCGACAGATACCAGCGGTGCATTATTATCATCTCCTAAATAGAGCGCATGTTTAAATCTTGTGAATAATTGTGGTATCTGCGATGTAAAGTTGCTCACGACTTCAGGTAGTGAAAACTACAAGGGAAATTGATCTACCGGTATCAGATGTTTGAAGGCTTAATGTTGTTAAAACATGAGGGTCTTAGGCTCCGATGTTTGCTTAAAGAACTCAGTCCGTTTAATGGAGACCCTTCCCCTTCTTATCATACATCTACATTATCAAGGGCAATAGAAGGCACAAATGAGACGCTATCGTTGCTGTGATACACGCAGGGAGTCGTGGATGTGAACTAAGCCAGAACGCAGTGAACCCATCTCTACGAACCAGAGGAACAAAGTAACAGACTAACACGGAAGTAAATTGACTGGCATCGGTTTAATTTGTCGATCCAAACAAGTGAATTAGTCCCTTAGCAGAAACAGGTGACCCAAGTCACCATAGCGTCACGAGGCGAAAACTACGGCTTGTGGACTTCATAAAGCAATGGAGTTCGATGAGAATATACCAAATGATAAACTGTTCTATAGGACGAGGCTGAAGATTGAACTCGCATGAAAATTGACCGATCCGTCGCTGGTCAAGTGTAAACCGCTGTCACATCAAACGATAGTCTGCACGGAGCGGCAGAGGTAGGACGATACCTCACAAACAGTAGTAGAAGTAAGCAAGTCCATACTAAAAGCCGACAAAAAGTCGTCCACTGTGATGAAAGTCGCCTCGCTGCGTCTTGTTTATCGGACTGTTATAATGAGTGGCGCTAAGGAATGTTAGGCAGGAATAGTGATCATAGCGAATGAGAAACTCCATAACGCTGGCCACAAAAAGTCAAACACGACGCATATTATCACACTGGTTGGTGATCGTATCTTGATCACTTGTAATCGAAAACCGAGAATCGGCGCCAAAGGGCTAGGAGGATGACAGACAGCTTCCGTACAAAAATCGCAGAGCTTCCAAAGACTAGCTACTTAAAGTGAGTGGCAGTATGTAGATAGCGGGCCCGTAGGCAGGTTTGGCCAAAGGAAGTGTAAGGCATAAACGGATCGATAAAATAGGGAAAACAAGTGAAAACAGATGAGAAAGAGGAACAGGAGAGCGCGGTAGCAATCAAATGGAGAGTGACCCATTTAACGCGATACTGATGCTAATGAACGGCTCACGCAACACCTGCACAATAGAACCACATCTGAAAAAGTTAATGTCCGAAGCCGTAGATCTTTTATACATAAATTTGCACTGATGTCCAACAAATTCAAATACAATCTGCTGCAAAATGATCGGCCTAGAAGAGGAGATTGACTCGGAAGCGGAACCGGTACTGAATGCGGATTAGCAACTGACTTCGAGAGTGAAGATTTCGTTGATCAACTGATCAGTTTGCGAACATACACACAAATGGGGGTCAAAAGAATATCCAATGCGACAGAAGAAAAATCGTGTGGCGAAAAGCCTTCCGAACTCGCGACCGGTTTAGAAATGATGAAGGCTGAGTCGGAACATCGAATTTGACACGAGGAGACAGGAGTTCACCGGTGTAAGCAAGAACACTTCCGAGAATGGCAAAGGACGGTCGTTGTCAGACTGAGTGGAAAAGAGACAATAGTCAAGTGATCACAGTGCGCAAATATACGTGACGCAGCATGAATAACAACGGTTTTTTTTGGAATATTGCCTAAAAGACTGTGTTTGACAAGGCCGAGTAAAAGGAGGCGGCAAAAAAAAAACAACAAGGACATCATCAGCATAAGTTAGCTAAAGATGATAAACATCTGTTGTTGTGCCAGAATACCAAAGAATAAAATATACGAAAAAATTAAAATAAAAAACACAATAAATAAAAACAAAAAACATGTAATATAATAGACCAGTATCGTATTATGCTTCGGGAGTGAGCAACGAGGACGGAACAAAAACGGATGGTTTAAAGTAGTACCAATAGTGTTACCTGCAGAAAAGTACTCATGGGGATGACAGCACTAAGGTAATGATAGTCTACCTCAAACAACAAACACCAGTAATCCTAGTGAACAAAACGTTACTGATTCGTCGTAGCAGCTCACAAGCGAGATAGTCTAACTACCAGTCCGGAAATGCACCAGACAGCCGTTCCGTCCAACTGGGGTACGTCAGTGGTGCGCGTTCCCTTGTAGGGAACCAAACCCAACACAATTAGCAGTTGCGCCAACCAACCAGTAGGTAAGGATGCATCGAGGATGGTGGCAGACTGCTACAACTTGCAAGTTAAGTGGGATATCGCGCGACCCATCTTCCAATGCGATACTGGTTACAACCATTGTAAAGGTCAATGGACGGGCTCGAAGTTATGGATTCTACCACACAGCAACTATGGATCCATAGCACATGAAGGCCCTGTGGACGAATTTCTGATTACTAATGAGTAGGAGGATTCTCATGACAGTTGACTGATTCGTCCCATTATGCATAAACACTAGCTTGGTTTCCGCTTTTCCGCTCAGCAGGCGCAGTGATAAAAGTAAATATATCCAAAATTTTTAACAATTATAGACAGCTTTCGAGGAATCCGTAGTGGTTTGGTTCAGCCATGCGATTTGTAACCTCCGTGTCCAGAGTTCTAGTCCCCGTTTCTGACAGTGTATCAGTCCACGCACAATCGCTTGCCGCTGAACAGCAGCAAACATCCGTGCAAGACACGGTATTGGTAAACCAATATTAAAATAAATAAACCGGTAGATAACATGAAGAGTTGTTTCACTGAATGTGACATTTCGCTAATAATGATTTGTTTTTAAGGATTCGATGGAGCAGATACAAAGATGAAGTTTCCCAACAAGCAGATCTCCAAGGAAAGAAAAATGAGTTACGTTCAAAGTTGTATCATTGATGCATTAAGTGTGACACTTTATTGGACTGTATACGCTCAGGCCACGCGAGAAAAACTATAGTCCGCATCATTGGAAAGTACCGTATATTACCGCGTATAAGCCGAGGAATTTGGGACAATTTTTATGTCTGTAGTGGGGGGTCGCCTAATTCAAAGGTTATGCGCAATTTGAAAAGCACATGTAAAATCCACCCAGAAATTCACTGCACACATATGCCGCTATTTTGGCTTAGCAATCCTTTCTAGTGACAGACGGTATCCCAGGCGCGGATTTGAAATGCCTATAGGTTAACACATTATGTTTGTGTCAAAAATTCTCGGTATATTGCACATGTGACTTTCGCGACGAATTACAGTAACAGACTATACAGAATCGAACACCATCACACACAATAACATTGGAAAAAGACATGACAGAACAGCACGTACCGGTAGATTTTATAGGCTCACATATCCAAACGCTGCACAATGGTATTAAAATTACTCGAATCCTTCGAAACTAGAATCCGAGTCAGAATCTCCAAACAGTTTCTGGTACTGGTCGTCTGTCATTGGGACGTCAGGGTGAATATCGTCATCTTCAACTTCACTGCTCTCGTCATTGTCGTATTCCTCAAAAATGGCATCGTCCTCACTTCCATCCATAGCATTACTGATGCAGCACTTTTTGAATGATCGTACGATAATTTCTGATGGAATATCCAGCCACGCTTCTTTCACCCACTCTGCAATTGTAACAATGTCAACCTTTTTCACATTGCCACCCTTCGTCAACGCTAAATCAGACGATGCCATCCATTCAATCCACCTGGCCCGAAGCCTATCTTTAAAGGGCTTATTGAGACAGACATCCAGTGGCTGCAAGATTGATGTAAGTCCACCGGGAATTAAAGCCACGGACGACTTCAGTTCACGGCATCGTTTCTCCACGTTCTCAGTTCGGTGTGCCCTAAAGGAATCCCAAACCAGCATAGATGGTTTCTTTAAAAGGGCACCGCTTCGCTTTCCCCAAACTGTATTCAGCCAGTCTATAGTGCCACTCTCGTCCATCCATCCTTTCGCGTGAGCCAGCACAAACACGCTGCTTGTGAACTTCGCTCCTTTAGGCAGCATCTTACGCTTAAAAATAATGGAAGGTGATATATGGAAACCGTCCAGCATCACTTTAAAACAAATGTGAACCGTGTCTTCTTGTCTTTCGTCGTCTATACAAAAACTGTGTTAGCACCATTCTGCTCCGCCGTGCAATTTGAAGGCATACCAAAGCATACGGGCGTCTCATCCATATTTCCTATTTGGGACGGTTCAGTCGTACTACTTTCTCAGATGAATCACGAACCTTTAGAAAGATTCTACTTTACTGTCCAATTCCTTCGGCAGTTTCTGGGCTAGTTTTGTGCCAGTCCGTAGACACATATCGAATCAGTTCATAAAATGATTGCACTATCCGGGGGAAGCAACAAAATGGACCTGTTTTGATGGCTGTAATTCCGAACTTTTTAACATTGTGAGCGCCCTGATCCGAAGGTTCGTTCGGCTAACAATTAACCCGCTGTTCCGTGACTCCATAATCCACCGCGCTAATTTTTCCTCCAGTGCAGGGAATATGGTTTTGCTACCGCGTGCCACTCTCTTACCCACAGGCATTAGTGACACTCCTCTCTCTCTCAGTTGCTTTTCATTCGCCATGAAATGGCGTGCAGCCATACCATTACTAGATTGCTCGGCAAACGCGATAACTTTCTATTTAAAGCCAGCAGTATATGCACATCGCTTCTGTCCAGATATATTTTTAGGTTTCCATGGCTTTGCACGAAATGTGGGCACCTCCGCTCTCCGCTGAATCGTGTGACATCGCGTTAGCGCTATTTTGGTTAGTGAATCACAGCGTTTATATATCATGTTATGCCAGCCGATTTGGTGCAGTAAAGAGATAAGGTCGTTCCACTGCTCGTGAACTTCCCACACACCCGCGCTGATCCACTGCGATTCAGATGCATGAGGCCCGCGATTGTACCAGGCAGTGTCAGACACAACATTGCACCTTACCCCATATCGTCGACTGTCCGAGCTGTTTCGTGTGACTTGACATCTGATCAATACACCGTCCAATGCAGTTAAAATCTTTGTTCTTACGGCTCTAAGCACCATTAACTGCGACCATAACACATTAGGTCGCCAGAACTGAACGATAATAGAGCAGCTGTCGTTTGAGCAGACTCACATGAGAGCAGACAGTGGTAATGTCAAAATCGCACAAAAGAATTTCGTCTTTTTTGCTGATTTCTTTGGGGGTCGGCTAATATAGGGACTTACGATTTTGGACAGATTTGAAGTTGCAGTCATACTGTCGGCTTATACACATACCGGCTTATGGTTGGCGGCATCCGGTTTTGGATTTGCCTGTCACTGTGGCCAGCCACAGGAGATCTGCGCCTACAGAGGGACCATGAGCGGCTTGCGCTGCACCACCCACAGCTCCAACCACACACACCATATCCAGTGTAAACCAGAAGGTATAAGACCAAGAGGCATGTAGATAGGAGCCATGTTTCCTCAACGGAGCCGGCCCACACTCCTTCACAGACAAACACAAGCACGCTGCATTTGGGAACCAATCGCACACACGGCGGTGGATGGACCATAGTCCGCTACACACATTGAGTGTATGGAAGTACTCTTAGAGCCTAAAACGGCCACAAGGACCGTGCAAACCTTCCCCTCCAGCAACGACCTGTATCCTGGAGCCAGTATGGACGAGGTAGTGGGTAATAGACAGGTAGGCACCTAGTCAACACGCATATCAAACGCAGTCACACCGGGGATACCAAGCAACAGCCAACCACTTGAAACGAAAATATGAAATAAAACAAATCGGATAATGCATACAGATAAGGGGGTCTAACTCTGCACTAAATAGGCGTATAAACTAAATTGATTACGAATAAATCTGCCATAAGTTCAAGAAGTCAGAAAACATATTTTAAGAAAATACCACAAACGCGAAAAGGTTATCGAAGTTAACTAAAATTAGCTTAAGCGACGTGGAAAAGTTTGTAGAATATAGTACAGGTAGACATTAATATGCCTTCGCAGCTTAGATCATGTCTGGTGGGAGCACCGCGTGAGCAATGAGCGTGTTCGACGTCGCGTATTTGGTGCAGGAAGAGCGAGTGAATCGCTCAGCACGATTATATCACGCACCAGGCTCCGATGGCTGGGCCAGGTGTTGCGCATGTCAGTACACTGACTCATGCGACGTGTATTGCTAGCGCGTTGTGGGTGCGGTTGGAAGAGGAGGAGGAGAGGCCAAGTTATGATCTGGTCGAGAGAAATGATAAACCCTCACTTCGAAGTTGGCGTCGGTTGGTGCATCCCGACTGCCCGGCTGGGGTCCTAAGGACGGTGAACATGTTTGGTTGGACACACTCGCTGATATGGCTTGAAGCCGGCCCCAATGGCGTTTGTGTTGTGAGCTCCTTTGTCCATCCCCCTCCTGCTTAGCATCCCCCTGAAGTCACAATCTTACTTGTTAGGCATAATATGACTTTCTTTTACGGCAGCCAGCTGTTAGCTCTCCGGAACGATGTCCATCCGTTACTGGGGACTCAGCGCGCGTGCCACCGTTTGTTTTCCTTTCCTTGTCTTTGTATTGCGGCATAATAGCTGAGGTGTTTTCCACCTCCACCTAACGTGTAATGATGATGATGACGATGAT